GTACTCCCCCCGTACAGCAATGGAAAGGGGAGGCGGAGGAAGGGGGGGGGGGGGGGAAAAAAGAAAAAAGTCATATTCATTTGACTTGCTAACGCCTCCCGGCTTCTTTTCATCTTGGGCAGTGAATTATTTATATTCTAGTAACGCTCACGTGCCCAAAAGGGGATCAGGGCCCCATGGAAGAAGCCAGTCCCAGCCGATTGCTGCCATGTCAGTCTTGCTACATGTTTTTTGGAGGGGGGCTAAGGCCACTGATTAAATTAAATTAAACCTTCAGCAGAGGGGGTCCGATGTCAAGAAGCAACCCGCTAGCTGAGCAAGGGTTTATCGCTTGCTGGGAGCTGGAAGATGGTCTTAAGCGAGCGACTGAGTCAACCGGAGCCAGGAGTCCGCAGCTGGCCGGGCAGGTTTACCGACACGCCAGACACGCGGACAGGCAGTGTGAGCTAGTGGTGACAAGGCACCAGACGGGCTCTCCAGGAACCCGGCCCTCGCGGGCCACCTTGGGCAAGCCGCTTCGCTCCTCCCGCCCCGGCCTGCCTCCTCTTAGCTCTCGCAGGTAGCAACCCGCGGGCATGGGGTTGAATGCAGACAAGGCCCCCGGCTCCTGCAAACAAGGCCGCGACGATCCTACGCGGAGAGCGAAGAGGGAAGGGGCAAAGATAAAAGGTTACAAGTCAAGCATGCTGTGCCCCCCAACCCTGCTTACGCACCCCACCTTCCTGCCAGCCAAGCAGTCAAAAAAGAAAAAAGAAAATGTCGAGTCAGACGCTCGCCGGCTTGCAAAACGCACACGACCAGTTGCACAACTGGACAGAGCGGGTGCGGGAGAGGAGGCCAAGCGTGGGGGCGGCTGCGCCGGGAGCCAGAAGTAGCAAAGGTCAAAAAGTGGAGGGATGGGGAAGAAAGGGACCGAGCACGAAGGGCAGCGCCGGGCAGGCCCCAAGTGTGCCGTGGGTGCCCGGCTCCTGGGACACTCGCCCCAACTTGATTTTATTTGCCATCTGCCCTCGGCAATCGATCGCCCGCCGCGCAGGCTGCTCGGGTGGGACAGGAATGGCAAACAGCACACAGGCGCGCGCACAGAAAAGCATCCCACGGTCACCAGGGGCCATTTCACCCGGCTCCCGCTTGCTCCTGGGCTCCCTGCACAGTGGGGGGGCTGCCCGCCTCTGCCCACCCCCTTGCAACCCAGCAGGGCATTTCAGTGGGGGGTGCCCAAGACCACCCGAGCCCCTCCGGCTTTGGCAGGGGACAGGCAGGGGGACGCGAGGGGCGCCGAGGCGCTGGGCCGTACCCAGGCAGGTCAGCAGGCAGAGGCTCCATCTTTCTTGCGCCAGCAGCGAGCAGTGCAAAAATAGAGCCGGGCTGCGCTTTAAAAATAAAACAGGCAGCCGGGCTGCATTCAACCCCCCCGGCCCTCCCCTCGCACCCCCCTGCTCGCCCGGGGAGGGGGGAGGAGGAGGACGCACTGCTTTCCCCGCAGGGGGCCACGCTCTGCTCCCACCTGGGTGGTGAAAGCAAGGGTGGGGGGTAAAAAGCCCTTTCCCCCACCCCCAGCTACCAAGGGGGGGGGGAGCGGATTGGAGGATTTCCGCCTGCCTGGGAAACAACCCACCCGGGGGCTGCCCTAGCTGCCCTGCCCCCCACCAAGGCATGCACCAGGGTGCAAAAAAAGGGGCTCAGAGCAGGCATGGGAAAGGGGGAACACACAGAGAGCGGGGGGGGGGGAGCCATGGCTG